AGAATAGTTCTTATATAAATATATGCGATAATTCTCATTTTCTTAACAATGGTTACTCAATGGATCCATAGCTTATTCTAAAAATCTTTCAATATTAAGTTGATACAATAAACAACACATGGTGTCCAAAACAACCATTTTCTTTTTCTCGTCAATAATTGGCATGTTGTCTTATAATTTGCACCATTATCGGTAATTATTTACCAACATTTTCCTTCCTGATTCTCTCTATAAAAACATCTAACATTTCAAATATCTTATTAATAGTTTTGGATATATTAGAGGTATCTATTAATGAAAAAAATAATCAATTTTAAGACTATTAACCAAAAAATTACAAATAAAACATCTTTTATAGTTTGTCCACCCATCGAAAAATATTGAACATGTTTTTCTTCTACTCTAGCTTGTACTTCTGAAACAAATTCATTGTTTGATCTACTTATTTCTTCAATACATCTTTCTAATAACATGATAAGATGGAGGCTTTAAAACTGATCCATGTTTTGCAACCAATTCAGGTTCATTGAGAAATTTAGGGTTTTTCACTTAATTAAATGGAATCACACTAGTATAGAAAAGCTTTCAATTTGTCGAAATGCTTCTTCTCTAGGATATTTTTTTAGCACTTAATTCATGGTAATTTGTGTACTTTCACTCTAACTAACTGTTATATTTCTTATGTTCTTTAAGCAATTTTTTTCTTTTCATCTTCATCATTTTTTTCTAATGTATTAAAAAGCTTTTTTTTTTCCTAATTGCTTCTTAACTTTTCACCATAGTATACAAAACTATCTTCTTTATAGTTTTTATACTTAAAACTCAACATCCTTATAGGTGCAAATCAAATGATGTTTGAAATGAAAAATGCCTCCACTTATATTTTTTTTTTTACAATACTTGCATTAATATTTTTTTAATTTCTTATCAATATCTATACTATATTGCCGTTCCACATTAAACCTATTACCAAATGAGTTTTTTTTCATCTAAATATTATGTGCTCAATAATTCAAGAATCAATTCAAGCTAGTCTTGTAATCAATTCAAACAATATTATTTGAACTAAACTATAATAAATTCAAACAGGATTGTGAGGCCATAATTTGCAAGCATGTAAACAAGGTTACATGAAATAGAATATTTCAAAAAAAAAATCAATTCAAATGATCCATTTTTTCAACAATTTAAATTTAAATTTCAAGTTTAATAACTTCATCAATCATTTGTAAATGATATGTTTTTAAATATAATTTAACTCATGGAACAACAATAATAGCAATCCAAACAAACTAGTTAGGGTTTTTGAGGTCAACTATATGGATCATTTTATAAATAATTTAACTCTCAATATAATCTAAGAAAATATCTAAAAAAAAACCTTAACTGATGATCCAGAATCTTTTACATTTAATGTAGAGATTGAGATAAGAAATCTATACACTCAAAATTAAAGTTTATCCCTAAGAAATCATAATTCTAGATGAAATTAACAAGGCAAAAAACAAGCATACATGAATTGAATATTAGTAATTGTCTTATAAAAGCATTTAGGGTACCGTAATATATAAAAAATAAAACTAAAACTATAAAATCAGGAGATAAAATAAAAATATACCTTTTTATTAATGACAAGGCAACAATTCTTAGGTTGTTGTGTTCAAAGACCCAAGTCAATAAGTATATCAATTTTTCTCCTTGGGCTATTGTGTTCAGAGACCTAAATCAATAAGTATATCAATTTTCCTCCTTTCTTTTAAGAATATACTATTTTTAGTGGTGACCATGAATCCTTAAATCATTATAGAAGAGATGAAAACTTGTGAGTAATTTTAGATTGGTTTGTCGCCACTATTGTGACCGTGATGTTGTTAGAGATGGAGATAAAGTCTGGATTATTAGCGATGAGGACATAAATGATAGGATCTATTGGGTTAGTGTATGTGTGTTTGTGTGTGTGTGTGTGTGTGTGTG